TTTATTGTCCTCAGTAGAGTGCTGTGCTGTCACAGCTCATAGCAACCTCCAACTTCTGGGCTTAGGCGATTCTCTTGCCTCAGCCTAGTGGACTACAAGTGCTCACCACAACACCCAGCTATTTTTTGTTGCAGTTTGGCTGGGGCTGGGTTTGAACTCGCCACCCTCAGTATATGGGGCCTGTGCCCTATCCACTGAGCCTCAGGCACCACCCTATATTTTTATTCTTATTATAATTTCTTTATAAAGGTCAGATATCTAAACTCTATAGATTATATATATTAGTTATAAGAAAAAAGAGGGCCAGGTGGGGTGGCTCATACCTATAATCCTAGCACTTTTGGAGGCCGAGGCAGGTGGATCACCTGATTTCAGGAGTTTGAGACCAGCCTGAGCAAAAGAGAAAACCTATCCAGGTATTTTGGTGGGCACCTGTAGTCATAGCTATTTGGGAGGCTGAGGCAAGAAGTTTGAGATTGCTGAGAGCCAGGACAGCATGCCACTCTACCCAGGGCACAAAATGAGACACTTGTCTAAACAAACAAAAATATAAAAATGGATAAAGGATATGATTAAAATTCCAGAAGAAAAACAAATGGCCAATTGGCCAATTAGCATTAAGAGCCTCTGTTCAACACCTGTAGCTCAAGCAGCTAAGGTGCCAGCCATATACACCAGAGCTGGTGTGTTCAAATCCAGACCGGGCTTGTCAAATAACAGTGACAACTACAACCAAAAAAAAAAAAAAAGCCTGGCATTGTGCCTGTAGTCCCAGATACTTGGGAGGCTGGGGCAAGAGAATCGTTTAAGCCCAGGAGTTGGAGGTGTGATGTCACATGAAACTCCACCCAGGGCGACAGCTTGGAGGCTGTCTCAAAAAAAAAAAAAAACAAAACCATGAAGAGCCTCACCTCTATGTAATCAGAACTCCACCCAGGGCGACATCTTGGAGGCTGTCTCAAAAAAAAAAACAAAAAAAAAAACCATGAAGAGCCTCACCTCTATGTAATCAGAATAATGAACCTCACCTCTATGTAATTAGAACTCCACCCAGTGCGACAGCTTGGAGGCTGTCTCAAAAAAAAAAAAGAAAACCATGAAGAGCCTCACCTCTATGTAATCAGAATAATGAGGAAAACAAGATGGCCAATTGGCTATTTTTGCCTGGTTATTTTATTTTATTTTTTTGGTTGTAGTTGTCATTGTTATTTGGCAGTCCCGGTCTGGATTCAAACTCACCAGCTCTGGTGTATGTGGCAGGCACCTTAGCTGCTTGAGTTACAGGCTCTTAATGTTAATTGGCAAATTGTTTTTCATCTTTTATTCTTCTGTCAAAAATGTAGTTTTTTAACAGGTGTTAGCAAGTCAAGGAGACTTACACACACTTCAAACTGTAGGTAGGATTTAAACTTGAAAAGGCCTGTTTTGGTACCAGGCACAGTGGCTCACGCCTGTAATCTTAGTACTCTGGGAGGCTGAGGCAGGTGGATTGATGGAGCTCAAATGTTTCAGACCAGTCTAAGCCAGACTGAGACCCTCCCTTCTCTAAAAATAGCTTGGGCATTGTGGTGGGCACCTGTAGTCCCAGCTGCTTGGGAGGCTGAGGCAACAGAATTGCCCAAGCACAAGTTTGAGGTTGCTGTGAGCCATGACACCACGACACTCTACCTCTACTGAGGGTGACCAAAAAAAAAAAAATCTCATATATGATCTGTTATCCATTAACCACTTCTGACCCCTGACCACCTGACAAATACCACATAGAGCAGCAGTTCTCAGCGACCCCTTTGGGAGTTGAATGACCCTTTCACAGGGGTGCCTAAATACATCCTACCTATAAGATATTTACATTACAATTCATAACAGTAGCAAAATTAGTTATGAAGTAGTAATGAAAATAATTTTATGGTTGGGGATTACAACATGAGGAACTGTATTAAAGGGTCAGGGCATTAGGAAGGTTGAGAACCACTGACATAGAGGAAGTGAGTATGTAGAAATGTAAGCACACATGAAAAAACACACATATTGGCTCAGCGTCTGTGGCTCAAGTGGCTAAAGTGCCAGCCCGTACACCTGAGCTGGTGGGTTCAAATCCAGCCTGGGCCCGCCAAACGACGACAGCTGCAACCAAAAAATAGCCGGGAGTTGTGGCGGGTGCCTACTTAGGAGGTGGAGATAGGAGACTCGCTTGAGCACAGGAGTTGGAGGTTGCTGTAAGCTGTGATGCCATGGCACTCTACCCAGGGCGATAGCTTGAGGCTGTCTCAAAAAAAACAAAACAAAAAAACAACACACATACTCAGATGGGCAATGGGCTTTATTTGTAGTGATAATCTCATGTTGCCCTGGAGGCCCCACTCTCAGTAATGGCAGGATTGGGGAGAAGGCAAATTGAACAAAACGGAATCCACCCTTCCTGGGCTTAAAATTTTCCTTTGGATAAATATCCGGTCAAATTAAAGTTCAAGTACCAGTCATCTTCCTAATGAATTTGGTGTCAGTTTTCTGGGTTTTCCCTAGAATGTCCTGTCTGGTGCTTGTCCATGTTTTGTGCTATTACTTCTATCTTTTCCCCTTTAGGTGGTCTGAGATCTTGCATGTCTCTATCCCAATGTCAAGTCCTCTCACCCTCATCAGACACATATTAGGAAACTTTACACCATTTACCTGCTGTGTAACTTCTCTATCCATGTCTAGCCCTTCTCTCTCCATCCTCTTTAAGTCAGTGTGAAGTACTTTATAACCATACCACACAGAAACACTCTCCCTGAGCTGGCAGGCCTCAGAACACTATCTGTTGTTAAAAACTGTAGCAGTAAGAACTGCTACATCATGAACCCACTGACCACAGCTAAGTCTCAGGAATTGCTAGTATCAAACAATAATTTTTCCTGGAAGAAGGCCAAAAAATTTAGAGACAGCATGTAATATAGTAAATGACCTATTTCCCCTAAAAAAGCAATCTGAAAACAATCCTGAGAAATTACCCGTAGGACATAGAAATAAATTATTAAAGAGTAATGAAAAAAGTACAATAAACCTATAAAC